TCTCCTGGCGGCGTCTTGGGGCCCTCTTGGGTGCCTCTTTGGGCGCTCTTGGGGCTCTCTTGGGCCCGTCTTGGAGCCCTCTTGGGCTGTCTTGGGACTCTCTTGGATCGTTTTCGGGCTCTTTGGGGGGGCCTCTTGGGCTATCTTGGGGCGATCTTTGGAGCCTCTTGGGCCGGTTCGGGCTGATGTTGGCCCGGAAATAGGAGAACCAGAAAAACCTTTGAAAACCATACAAAAATCAACGAAATGTCCCTCGTGGGGCCCTCTTGGGAAGCCTCTTGGAGGCCTCTTGGGGCGTCTCGGGACCCCCTGGGACGGTCTTGGGCGGTCTTGGGGTCTCTTGGAGCGCTCTTGGGCTGAGTCTTGGAGCGCTCGTGGACCCCTCTTGGGAGTATCTCGGGCCGTCTGGGGCGCCTCTGGGACTCTCGGCGCGGCCCTCTCGCGTCGACGACGGCGGGCGCCGTCAAATCGTTTGCGCCAGTCTGGCGGCGCGCGCAGTGTCGCGAAGCAGGTGCTCCTCTCGGCATTGGGAGATGCGCCCCGGGCCTGGCTGGACGTTGGACGCCCCCAGCGAAGTTTGGGTTGACCAGACCGGGCGACCCCGGCGCTTGTCAGCGTGTTCCCCCGATTCCTTTGCCCTTCGCGCGCGCGCGAAGCGCGCGGGGGGGGCCATTGCTCCTGATTAGCAGGTTCGGCCGTCTGACTTCGGCGCCGAGCGGCGCGGCCCCCGCGCGTCTCGAACCCGCCCGCGGCCTGATCTCTCGGCAGGGCACCGCGTGGAATGATCGTTGCCGCTGTTGCCTACGCAGCTTGATTCCCCAACGGAAACCACCGCAACCAGCGGTTTCGCGGCGCCCGTCAGGATGCCCCGCAAGCTCGCTTGCTCTGTCAGGCGCCCTCTGGCGCGATGTTCCACGGTCGGTTCGGTTACCCTGCTCGTCGCGTTTGGCGTCGGGGCGCGATGCGATCCGACCCGACCTACGTTGGGCGGCAGATCGGATTCGACCAGGGCCCAAGGGCCGTTTTCCAGGCGTGCCCCCCCTGACCCCACTTTCGGTTCGCTCGCCCCTCCCGGCCAGCAGAAAGCACGGTGCATCGGAGCCGTTGGCCTTCCGAGGGGCCAGCGCCAGGGGGGGGGCACGCGTAACTTTTGCGATGGCTCGAGACGCGGGCCAGCTCCCCCAAGGGTTCGCCCAGCGGGATGGGCGGCGACGGCGGCGGATGGGCGGGGGAACGTGGTTCCCGCGATCTGAGGGCGCGAACCTCTCTGCGATGCTCCTGCCCAAGAGGCCCGCGAGGGTGAGGACTACGCGGTGGTCTCTCTCGCGCGTCATGCTACGTCTTTCCCCGGGACCGACTTACACGGGGACTGCTCTGGGAGCCTCGGGTACGTTTCAGACTCTGTGGCCGCGGTCAACCCTGGAAACGCTCGGTCTCATTCGCGGCAGCATATTTTTGCTACGCGTGACGGCGCGCGGTGGCGCCAAGTGCCCGCCTGCGGCGCTCTTCGTGACGCGGGGGCTGGGAAGCTCGGTCGCCCGGAGTTTCTAGGCAACAAGGCTGCCAATGAATATGCGAAGCGAGGTGCCTCTTTGGGAAGGCCTCCCGATGCCGATCGTGCCGCCGTCTTTGGGCGTTTCGAGTTGGCTCGTTTGTTGGACAAGCTTTCGGCCGTGCGCGAAGCACGGATCGGGGACAGTCAGCATGTCGATCATGTCGGTATCGGTTGGCTTAGGCACATCTCCTTTGAAGCCCCCTCTCTTCCTCAAGAATTGGGTGCCCGTCCTCCTCCCCCTCCTCATCCTGTGGGCGGCGGGACGGGTCGGGTGTATTTTGGTGGGGATGGTGATGCGTGTGAAGAAGGTTGGGCCGAGTGGCCCGACCTCCATGTCTAGCCTGGCCTGGGGTATGCCGTCATTGAGGCGGGGGTCACGAACCAGGGAAGGCCGAAGGCAACCTTGTCCTTTGCACCTCGTGCGGCTGGATTTGTGCTGTTGGTGGTCATGGTGACAAGACAACTGTCGCGTCATATTGTTCGCACGTCCGCTCCTCGGGTCGGGAACGGCAATGCAAACCGCCATATTTCAAAAAAACTTCCGTGTTGGCCAAGCGTCCGCGTGATCGGACTCAGGCCGTGATTTCCTCGCGGCAAAAATTGGTTTGGACGACCTCCCCTCTCTCGTGCCGCCGCGAGCCAGGAGCTCCCTGGTTTCATCGTCTGGAGGGGTGGGAGGGTCTGGGCGGGTACTGGGGTCGACCTTCAACGTGGCCTTCCACTGTTCGGGTTCAGCTCCCGGGACGAAGCTGACTCTCTCGGGGGTCGAGCGCGAATGCGCCGACGGCAGGGTGTGCCGCCTCCAAGAGACCCTGACCCCTAACTCGTCTGGAGCTTACTTGTTGCATGGTGAATGAGGTGGTACCTTCATAGCCAGAGCCTGGCTCCTCCTCCTCCTCCTCCTCCTCCTCCTCCTCCTCCTCCTCCTCATCCTCCTCCTCCTCC